TTATCTAAATTAAACATTAATCCTTGGATTAAAATTGGACCAAACAGGTTGGTGTATGAACTTAGATCAATGCACAAGTATCCGGGATATTTTTACATGATCTAAGCCTCATAGGTTAATCTGAACGGTCATTTTTCGGAATCTCCAACTGAATAGCAACAGAGTTGATTCCAGTGTGTAGTTTCATTCTCTACAATACATACAAAATTATTATTATTTTCAGGAATAAATCCTATTAATGAAAATTATTACATGTCACTGGTGGTGGATGCCACATTATTTATAAAACCAAGCATTGGTTTGTAAAGTTGGGTCAGGATTGAAGCATTTTGAATACATTTATGTTTATCTTTGCTGCCTTTGGGCGGATCATTAGAAGTCTGTTGACACGATTAATCTAAACGATCTGAAACTGACCCGTTTCCAGATGAACGAGGAGCTCTTGCTTGAAAAACATTACATAAACCGTTACACCAGGAAACCGACACGAATGTTATGACTAAGCAAACTTCCCATCGACGCTGTGAATGCTTTAGAGTAGAATCGATCTTTACGACATTATCAGAAAGCTCTCAGCACAAGTGGACATGTCAAACACGTTTATTATCATGCATCTGCAGAGTAAATAGGTCCTCAAACCCAATTAGCCTTTTTTTGTGAGCTGACTGCTAATGTTCTCTGCTAGAGACCAAATCCACGTTTCATCTCACAAATTCAAATCAAACCCTAAACGTATGTATATGTCGATGGTTTTATTACATTGACATGTAACTTCGTGTGAGTCAAACATTAAACAGGAGTATACTTTTAACATCTTGAATATGGAATGTTGTCCCGGTTTTATAGTTCTTAAAGTAGAGTCATTCACCAGACAAAAGGCCGCCTGGAGACTCTTCTTACTGCTGGATGCTGATAAAGTGGTTCAATCAGTTTCCAATCCCACACCAGCTTCTCACAAATGCTGAATGTGAGAAGAAGAAGGCCTCCTGAGGCTGAAGCTGGTCTTCGTGCTTCCCTGTAGGTTTGTCTGGATTTCTGCTGGAATTGCACTCATTCTCTGTAAGGTTTAAAGACATTTGTGACTTACTGAAAGACACTGTGCTGCAGGAAATCCTCACGGGGTGTCAGCAAAACCGTGAAATGAAATCTGAAGTTCAGTGCTAAATATTTTATAAGACGTGACATTCAGCCGGAGACGAGGATGGCCTTTGAGATTGAGGCCAACCAGAGCAACAGGACTTGTCCTGTGATGTGTTGGCGGAAAGAATCTGCTGATCCTGCTTATCGGACTCCGAACAGCTCCAGCTAGCATCTGAACTAAGTTTCCTTACACACAACTCTCAAAACGCACTCCGCAGTTATGAGTGTCAGCTTGTTGAAGTCACCCGTAAACCTATCCTGCAACACAGTCAGAGTTTAATAGGGAAAGATTGGTTCTTTTGTGCCGTATGTAGTGTTGAACAAGGAAAAGTTCTTTTTTGCTTCACATCTACAAAAGTAATCAAATGAATAAACAAATATCCTGGTCCAGAAACTAAATGTGTGTTTTGCTTATTTTTTCCTAGATGTAAAAAACTCCTTTAACCTTGCTTGTATGCAGCAAATCTTTGACTGTTCAGATAGTTCACATTTTCTCTACTGGACTGAATCTTATGGGCCATTCCCATCTGTACCGGGTCGGCCCGGGCCGGGTAGCGTAGGTTGTTTACATATCTGGGTGGCCTGGTATTTGTCCGGGCCAACCAAGGCTCATTCTCAGCCCTCTTCTCGAGGGGGTCTGCTTCAGGCCGACCAGGGCCAACACACCCACTGCTGACAGCAAATTCACACCTTCCATTAGAGCAAGCCTCTGATTGGTGGGTAGAATCAGCCCACATGGGCTTAAGGCAAGGATGTGTGGAATCAACCGGGCCAGGCTGGGGCCGACTGGGGCTACCCGGCCCGGGCCGACCCGGTACAGATGGGAATGGCCCATTAGGCTGTCTCTATGTTTATGTTTGTTTATTTATTTGGCAGACGCTTTTATCCAAAGCGACGTACAATTTTTTAACTTGTAGGGCATGTTGTGATCTGTGGGGGAAGCCGGAGTACCCGGAGGAAACCCACGCATGCATGAGGAGAACACGCAACTCCACGCAGAAAGGCCGCAGCCAAGTCTCGAACCTGCAACCTTCTCGCTGCGAGGCAACAGTGCTAACAACTGCGCCACCACGCAGCCATAATACACCCATGGCCAAAAGGTCGAGGAAGAACTAAGTGCTGGTTTTTTACAGCGTTTGCTGCTTCATTGTTTCATATCTATTTTGTCAGAAGTTTCTATAATTACATTTATTTCACAAGCTTCGGAAGGCTTTTGTTGACATTTACATCAGGTTTATGCAGAGGGTCAGTGGTTGGAAGAAGCAACTCTTCCTAAGGAGTTCCTCTTGGAGGATGTTTTGGTACCATTCCTATTCATGTTTAGTGGAATACATTGTTAACTATGACCAATAAGATGTGATTATTCCAAACAAATATGGAATATCAATCTGATTGATCTTTGAACGTTTAATCAGAAGATTCTAGGGTTCTTTCTTATTCAGGGACCATAAACACACGTCGTATTAATTCAGACAGAGTCAGTATTTAGTTTGTTAAAAGTCCGCTTGGTCGCTTTAACCGTTTAGACTACGTTACCCATGATGCACCTCCGTATCTGTACTTCCGGTTGGGAATGTGTTTAGCGCCGTTCAGCACAGCTGAAAGGTGTTGGATGATCAGCGTTTTCTCGTGCGTTCCTGTGTGGGTTACCCTCGGTGTGCGTGTTTATCACGTGAGTATCATAAGACGAGAGTGATGCTTATTTGACTTTATCTGTGAGAAGCTGGTCCCGTTGCTATCGCTAAGCTGCGGGTGCTTTTGGCCTACTTCAGGCAGCCTTGGTTGCAGCTCCTATGGCATTCTATATGCGACTTACTGTCAAGTATGGTGGTTGGAGGTGGATGAAACTTTTTACTGTGTTTATTATTGGACCTGTAGAGATCCTGTTTGCGAACGCATACGTATGGTTTAGGGTGGCATCTAGTGGCTATGAGGTTATAGCAGATTATATAACGTCATGTTGGAAACCACAGTGCTTTATAAACGGTACACTTCTTTTCATAATTCAATTCAATTCAATTCAAATTCAAAAATACTTTATTAATCCCAGAGGGAAAATGATTGCTGTAGTAGCTCAGAATAATAATAATAATCAAGTCATCAAAGAGTTGTTGTATATTACATCGGCTGTTGGCAGGAAGGATCTCCAGTAGCGGTCAGTGTTGCAGCCAAACTGAAGAAGCCTCTGACTGAAGACACTCTTCTGTTGTCGGACAGTCTTGTGAAGAGAACGCTCAGGGTTGTCCATCATTTTCTTGATTCTCTGGAGAATCCTTCTTTGCATTATGTCCTCCAGCAGTTCTGAAACTGCTGAAACTCTGGCTGAGTCCTTGAAAGGACTTGGAGTTCCTCCATCTTGTTGGCCAGTGATCTCACATTGCCCATTATGATCGATGGAAGGGATGGTTTGAATTTCCTCTTTCTCTGTCTTCGTTTTGCTCCCGCTCTGCACCCACGCTTCTTGCGTTTTAGCTCAATTGGGATTTGTGGCTTCAGTTGAGGTATTATTTCAGCCTTTCCAAAGTTAATCAGCTGCTCCCGATTGTAAACCAGCTCGTTGACATGGTTACGAATCATAAAAAATGCTCAAAAAGTGAGAAAAGCTAAAAAATAGCTGTAAAAATCCTCCAAGCTTCACAGCACCAGAAACAGAAAAGTAAAATGTCAAAAAAAAATACAGTTTTTCTTGAGAAACTAGAAGAAAAAATGCCCAAGAAAAGGCAAAACTTACACATAGTCAACAGAGCTACTCCAACATGCAGCCACCCAGAGCAGCGCAGTTCCGGAAATAAGGATTAACACGAATGTTGGTTCTGTCTGTTAACAGATTACCACACCTACACACTCCTACACGCTCACAATCCTTTACCTGCATTGGTATACAGGAATGCAATTGCCTCACCGCTAACGTTGCACAACCTGTTGATATCATCTGCCGCCTCCTTAATAAAGCTACTTGGACTACATTGCTGTGGAGTGCCAATCCTTCTGGCCGAGGACGACTCGGTTGAAGCGTGATCGGCAATCAGTGCAAAGAATCAAACATAGTTTATAAAATGAATTTCATTCTTTTTCCAAAACTAATAATTTGTACATGACGAGATATGAATAATAAAATGTGAGGTGTTGTGATGGAAGCCAGATGTTGTAGCAACCGTTCTTCGTATCTGAGAGAAATTGTGAAATCTGGGTGTAAAAGAATTTGTTGTTTGCTATAAACTAGAGAGTTGTTTATTTATATACAGTATCAGACACCATCATGCAGGCTTACGATACCCTTGTATGCGTTGCTCCCAGTGGTCCGGAGGTTTGCGGTCAGAGTGGTGACGTCACCGGACGTCGAAACCACAATACTCAGAGATGAGTAGCTTCCTCTGAGCTCAGCTTCCCCGGCCGGGAGATGCAACCCCGGGGTCTGCAGGTTAGGTGTCCAAGGTGGATGTCTGAGAGTTGAAGTAGCTCTGAAAAGAGCTGTTGTGTCTGCAATCACTCGCAGCGTCGCAGAAAGGTTTTTGACTTAAGGTCAAAGGAGATGGTTTCAAAAGAGATGCTTCTTTACTGATTTGGCCGAATCGGGGGTCAGCTGGAAACTGAATTAATCGGGAAGTAAATCCTGTCTTAATAAACTCGTTATTTATCATTTCTGGCGTATTCTGGCTCATCAGAATGTGCCATGTCTGGAAGGCTTTACCAAAACATTCCTCAGAAAGCCACGCCTTCTTGCAGATACAAAGATGTTTTTAACACTGGATGGGAATGTCTTAAAACTCTTATGTGAGGCGAACTTTGACCTTAATATGTATCTTATTGCAATGTGTATGAGTGTAAACAATGATTAACTTGTTAAATCAAACACATAGTGATTTGTAATGTTTATGTTTATTTATTTGGCAGACGCTTTTATCCAAAGCGACGTACAATTTATAACCTATAGGGCACGTTGTGATCTGGGCGGGAAACCAGAGTGCCCGGAGGAAACCCACGCATGCACGGGGAGAACACGCAACTCCGCGCAGAAAGGCCACAGCCGAGTTTCGAACCTGCAACCTTCGTGCTGCGAGGCAACAGTGCTGACAACTGCGCCACCACGCAGTGGATCATTGTAAGAACAATATTCATTTGAAATTCATTGATTTAAGCACAGATTATTCAAACATTTGATTTAAACATCTTGTTCATTCATCACGTATGATTATTTAACTTATAACTATAAAATCGTGGAGTCTTCACTTATTCAGAGTGAAGAATGTTGTCTGGCTTCTGAGCAGAGAGTGGGACAGAGTGTCTATTTGAATGTTTTGTCTTCATGGAATGTCAACACGCTCTGAGCAGAGCCTTCTGGATTTAGAAGGCCAAATAGAAAGTGGATTTATGCCGTAGATCAGGGGTGTCCAATCCTGGTCCTGGAGGGCCGGTAACCAGCAGGTTTTGTGGTTTTTCTGCTTCAACACGCTTGATTAGCTGGTTGAGTCACTTATGCAGCAGCTTATCAGGCTCTGCAGAAGCCTGTTAATCACCTGCTGATTGAAATCCGGTGTGTTGAAGCAGGTTAAAACGAAAACATGCTGGATACCGGCCCTCGAGGACCAGGATTGGACACCCCTGCCGTAGATGAAAGGTCACTATGTTGGTCCATGTAGATGGTGAAAAATGGACCCTTTTGGACATTGCACATGTCTGCTCTGAGGCTAAGCTGTGAAGGAGTTCACTCTCTTGGCTGAGAGGCAGTGTGAACCGTCTCATTATGCTTTACACGGAAATGGTAGGAGGCTTACGTTGGGACAGTTCACATTTGTGCCATTCTCCAAAGTACTTGTTATTTCTGCCTTTATTCTTCTCAGAAAGGGTCATTAGGGAGCCGGAAGCCATTAGCCTGAGCCAGTGAGTGAGCTATTACAAAATAGAAGCTCCCAGTTAAAGATGGCAAACATCCACAGACTCCAGGTTTACGATTAGTCAGAACATGCCGAGTGACTGTGTATAATTGTTTCAAACGTGTTTCTCTTCTTTGCTTCAGCAGGCGTTGCAAATGTGATAAAACGCTTGATCACATTTCTTGTGACCGCTGTTTTCCTGAGCTTTACATTTTTATAGGAAATGGCCCAACTCTGGAAAACCATGTGAAGGTTAAAGGGAAACAAAGCCATCATAATGAGCTCGCCGTGAAACCCATCCTGTCAAAGAGACGAGAAATTAGATTGACTGTAAACCCTTTGAAGGCTGGATGGCTGTTTGATGTTTTAACTTGATTCTGAGACCGACTTCTGGGTACAAAGTTCTTCCCTCCATATTTTCCACAGATTTCAAATATGATGAATATTTCATTTTTACAGCAAAGAAAACAAACTTCTGAGTTACTGTGTGAAAATAGCACGATACATGTATACACACGTGTGAAAACACAACCAATATGTCCTTTCCTTGTGCCGTAAAGTTCTCCCACTCGCACCAAATAAAGCAGAACACTAATAAACAATTTGATGAACGTTTCTTGTAATTTACAAAAACAGAAAAAGTCAGACAAATAAACTTTTGACCACAATAATAAATGATCGAAGATGCAGTCAGAGATCCCTCTCAGCTGGCTTCTTTGTCCTCTTTGTGCTCCGTTTGTTCTGTTTTGGCCGACCCGTTCTGCTCCGCTGCCGGTTCCTCCGCCATCGCAGATTTTTTTGACGTTCCTGTTGGGACGCCAAGAGGTTTGTGGAACAGGAGCGTAAAACAACAGCTGATTTCTGAGTGGAATTTGAGCCTTCTGGTTGATTCTGTACCTGTGAGGTAATTTCTGTGCGTTCGATGGAACAGCAGGAGACCAACGAAGAGAATAAACCCGATGCAGGCGATTATCACTCCACACAACAGGAAGCTGTAGCTGCCTTCAGTCTGAATAATCTGTAGATAAGACAGCAGCGTTACTGAACAGTAACAAGTCAAATTCTGCACATTTCTAGCTAATCTGTGATAAACTCATCAGACTCACTGAGCCAACCAGAACCTGCATCACCATCTCTCCCATCCCTGCACTGGTCACCAGGACTGAGGTTGCACATCCTGCACAAACAACGACATGCTCGTGTTTTCTGGTTTTTATTCCACTACGGATGCATTCTCGATGTGGCGTAAAAACTTTATCGTACCCTGGTACTCAAGGATGTCTTCAGTATAGGCAAGCATGCAGGGGAATACGCTGCTGAGGAACAGTCCACATAAACAGGTTCCAACAAACAGAAAGACGCTGCTGGTGTAGAAAATCAACAACATCAGCACAGTGACGATGGCTCCAGCCTGTACGAGCAAACAGAAGTCACTGAGCGGGTATTTTTTTAAACATTACCAAAGAAAAATAATCTGAGTCAATCCTAAGTGCAGTTTTCAAATAGTGATTTTATTTCTTAAGGGAACAAAAATTCTAAGCAACTGGCCCTATATGAAAAGGTGGTCGACCCCTGAACCTAATAACTTGTTGCTTTGCCTCGACCTGCTTGTTTAGGTCAAAGGTCAGACATTCTCCTGCAGGATTTCCTGCTCGGTTTGTTTGGACTCGCTTTTACTCGCTGGTTTTATCCTGAACTCCTGAGTTGGTATTTATTTTGGGTTTTTGTTCTAATCATTTTGTTATTATTGTTTATTTACTTTTATCTGCTCAGGATGTTTTTTTAAATGCTCATAACTTCATTTTGTAGTTTCGTCAGTTACAGTAAGTCATTCACGTCCCGCAGCAGCAAAGTGGCTCCGGGTCGTCACACTGCCACCACCGTGCTTGACTGCTTCTGAGATGTTGTTAGTTTTCCTCCACATGGAGCCGGACACACACCTCTTCAAGAGTTCCCATCTTATCAGACCATGGATGCTTTCCTAAAACTCGTAGGTGGTGTGAAACACATCTGCAGTGGTCTCTAGTAGGAATGAATGCCTGGTAAGTCATATTATGTGGGGGGAAATAAAGCTCCGGTGCGCCTGTTTCAGGAACTAGGAATGAGCCTGATCAGAGGAGAGCCTCAGACGGCGGGATTTGAAATCTTGTTTCCTGATATTTGGACATCTCTCCTCTGATTGGCTAACAGCAACACGACTCTACCACTGACTCTGTTTGCTTTGCAACGCTGACGTTTTACCTCCACAAATACAACCAGCCTTGAGGAGTTCTGTTGTGCGGTGGAGTTGCTAAAGCTAGCGGTTAGATTCTACTGACCAACAACAGCCTTCCCCATTGTTACTCAAGATGGGCGAGTCCATGAATTTTAAGTGACAGTGTGACGTAGATCTGTCAGGTTTTTCTAATCCTGGAGTTTCACCGTCTGTTTTCCATCAGAAACCAAAGCAGGAGATAGATGTAGGAGACTATTTTCATGTTCAGCCTGCACAAAAAACTCAGAGTGACTGATTATTATCAGAAATAAGTATTAAAAATGTTTTTACAGTGTTCTGCACCTTTAATCTAGTCCAAGTGAGGCGTGCAATGCTTTAATTGTTGTTTCGTTATTGTTACATCCCCGACGTGTGACCCTTGGTGGTTAACTCGTGGACTTTTGTGGTTTAAACCAGCTTTGTTTGTTTTTTGTGAAGAAACCACTTTAGGACTTTTGTGCGTGTTTTTGGGATAAGTTAAGTTAAACTGGTAAACTTTTGGTTTTGGTGTGTCTTTTAGACCATCTTTTGGCAAATTACCAGGTGGGGATTTCTCCCCTTTTGAAGTCTCTGAGTTCCTGAGCTATTTTTTTTAGTGGTTTGGACACTTTTGGTTAATTCCGTGTTTTGGTAGGTTTGTCTTTCAGACAGACCTTTTGTTTAACTACTTGGTGAGATTTTTGCCCCTTTTTGAGTTTCATTCCCTTTTTAAATAAAGGAGGTTTAATTTTAGGATGTATAGAGTGGTTGGTCCTCTGGTCGGTTTCAGTTAATTAATTAATGTTAACTTAGTTAATTTCTAGGTAAGGTTTTTTTTGGCCCTTCTTTTGGTTTTAATAAAACCTTTGAAAGTACAAGGACACTTTGAGTTTGATTTTGCTTGGTCAAGCCTTTTTCTCCCCAATAAGGGTCACTTTTTGTTAAACTGGTCCATTTTATGTTTGTTCCCCTCTCCTTCCTAGCTGAGCCCACAGAGGGGTGTAACAGTTATTTAATTTCTCTATAAAGGGGGATGATGTGCTGCTTTTTGAGATCTTTTAGTCCACTTCATCCTGCTCAACTGCAGTGATTTCTTTATTTTACATGTTTTATATAGCTTTTTTTCTTCATTAGACAATGGCGTCATCATAAAAAATGAAAGAACTCAGTAGAGGTCACGTCATTGTGTCTAATAAACTGTTAAATGGGATGAGACCTTACCAGGTTGACCACGAGCAGCCTCACAGGTTGGAAACGGTAGGAGAGAGGTATGGACAGGAGACGTCCAGCTGTGATTGCTGCCCAAAAGACACTCGCCAGGTAACCGGCCGTCTTATTAGGCAACGACATTGGTGGTGCTACAGCGTAGGTGTACACAAAGCCAGCATATGCACCCTGAGACAAAAAACAACTTCGGTTCGGTCTTATAGTCTACCTTCTTTGCTTTATGAGATGCAGATCTTGGATAATAAACCTTTATATAAAACATGATTTGAGTGAGATGTGATTTATTTGTGCGCTTCACCCACCACGATGCCATCGGTCATAAAGAGCACCATCCCTCCGAGGACGTGTATCATAAAGAAGGATGCGGGCAGCCCACGCAGGTTATCATTCTGACAGCAGCTGAAGATACTCCCATGACCTGCAATCACACAGACACAAATTAGAGAGCAAAAATAAAAGTAATTTATTATTCACACACAGAAATCCATGCCAAGTATTGAACATTTATAAGATAGGCACATCAGATTTGCATTCTGGACCTGCAGCTTCGTGCTCCTTCTGCTCCACGTCTGGGGCCTCGTTCCCCTGCTGGCTCTCCATGGCTAGTTCATCCTTGTCCAACAGCCGTGGCATGCTGCTGGGGCAACACGGGATCAGCTGCTCCCGATACATGAGAAACAGTACAGCTAGAGGCACAGGAAGCTATGAGAGCGGAGAGAGAGAGAGGAAAAACAAACTAAAGTACTATAAAACACTTATATTTTCACTTTTGACCTTCAAATGAGAATAAAGATACAGATTTATAAATGATGCTGGACTGTCTGTTCAGTTTCCTACATTAATAAGTGCCATGATCCAGAAGGCGTACTGCACAATGGACTCTTCCTTCTCCCCTCCCTCGTGGGGCAGGTGGCTCTGAGTTATGTTGTGCTCTGCAATTGGACTGTTTCTCAGCATGTTCCTGAAGTGATGTACGATCTCAGTCTGGTTCCCTGTGTGATTCCCACAGCCGGTCTCAGAGAGGAAAGGATCTGCAATCAGCGGGCTCACCAGGGCACCGAACCCGATAAAAAAATGCAGAGCCTGCAGAAGTGTAGAAAGGCCGGAGACGTTAACCAGCTGCAGTTTTAAACAGCTACAGCATCTAATTATCTCCTAACTCCACCATGTGCTCCTGCAGAGCTTCCTTTACATAGAAAACAGATGTTCTCATCGTTTGGTCGGTGCACGTTAGACAGAGCTGGTTTTACAGAATAGGGTCACATTAAGGCTGGTCTTTTGGGAGACAAAGTGAAGAGAGAACAGATTCATTTTCACCTGTAAAAAGATAGCAGAGTCCTTCTGATAGATGGCCACCAGCTGAATGTTAGCAATGGTGTCAATAATACCCATTGCGAAACCCGACACGGCCATGGCGATGGCCAGCACGAGGACATTGCTACACGCAGGGATGATGGCGAATATCACAGAGATGACCAGCGCAGAGACAAAGAGGGCAGCCAGAGCACTGAACAACCTTTGACAGACAAACGAGAGACACATCCAGTTGTAATGAAACTCTGCTCTGTCCTTAAACATCTGCTGGAACTCACGATCTCCTGAAGACTCCACCAACGGAGCTGCCAACCAACAGGCAGAACTGCTGGGCAAAGAATACCCAAGTAATCTGATTGAGCGTGGAGTTGGTCTGACACTGCAGGTCCAGAATGGTAGGTCCAAGAAAAGCAATGCAGAGGCCAAAACTGAAGAAAAGGCTCCAGTAAGTCAAGGTGTGATGGGCATTCCGCTTGAAGAGAGTTACTATCCTCTCATCTACGAGCATCTTGGATGAATTCACGTCAGTGTGAAAGACAAGAACGTTTATTAGTGAATATGAGAAGCAGCTCCGAGGTTCTGGTGCAGCAGAGCTCTGGATCTGCCTTAAAGCATCCAGCTCTCTCCTCTTTTTGTGTTGCTTAACTCAAAAGGATGTTCCCTTGAGTTAATGGGTGAAGTAGAGATTCGGCCAACAACAATATCCCCCATTTCAATTGTGTCAATGATTTGCACCAAGGAAGACGAGGGGGTTGACATGGAGTGCTGCAGAACCTGAGCCGTTTGGATGGAAAATGGATCACTCAGGAAGCAACGACACACAAACACAGATCGTCTTTCACTTCTCACCTGGATGATTTAGAGCCGGAGTATTTCATTCCTGTCCTGGAGGGCCAGCGTCCAGCACGTTTTAGTGGTTTCTCTGCTCCAGAACACTTGATGCAGTGGGTGAATCACCTGTGCAGCAGCTCATCAGGCTCTGCAGAAGAATGTTAATGACCTGCTGATTGGAATCCGGTGTGTTGAAACAGAGTTCAAACTAAAACGTGCTGGACCTCCAGGACTGGAATTGAATACTCCTGATTTAGATGCTACATTTATTACAGAGGAATGCTGTTAAGGCATTGTGATCTTATAATTCATCATCATCCAGATTTACAGTATCTCAACAACACTTAGATAAATACTGCACACGGGTAAAATTACTCCAGAAACACCGATTTGTCATCAGCGTTTTCCCAGCTGACTCCAACTTGGAGGAGCTGACTTCCTGCAGAAACACTCCCTAACCTGTTGGAAGGTTTGAGATATCCCAGGATCCAGGAGCCACAAAAAACAGATGGCAAGGAGAAAGAGAGAGAAGCCTGGAGCGGGGTGGTTGGTGGAGCCTCAGCCCCTGGGCTTGGGCTTGGTACCCTCCATGCGGCTCCACCTGCAGAGAGAACAGTTGTGGTCAGGAACACGGGTAGCACCTGAGGACAGGTACCTGGACATGCTCAATCTTAGCATCAGAAACAGGCTTCAGCTACCAGTATGAATAAATAATCTCAAATTAGGTCCACAGCCTAACCACAATCACCCCTGTGTGGTTTCAGTGATGTGAGTTTAACTTGAATCCAGAAGAGATGTACAAGGAATCTGGACCTGGCCTGGTTTAATCATCTCTCAGAGCAGGCCTGCGATGATGCTGCCGCCCTCTCCGCCTAATTACAACATCGATTTTCAAGTCTCCACTTAGTGTTTTGGATTATGAACATGTACCAGGCTCCTTATCGTCTCATTCCGTTCATTTTCACAAGTGCAAAAATAATACATTTGAACATTCTGAGAAACCTGGAAAAGGTGAAGACACGGTGACCTAATGGTGTGACTTCATCTGATTGTGTCTGCTTGAAGAATGGAGCTCGATGACCACCATCTCTGTTTGAGACGCATGGCAGACCATTGTAACCAGGTTGTTTTTCACAGGTTCGTTCCATCTTTGCTTTTGCTTTTAAATTGACAGCATAGATTATTTAAAACGAGTCACATGTTAAATTAGCTTCCGTCTCGGGCGAAAACACAAGGAAAGACCTGATCCCCGAATCGGCTCAATGATTAAATCAAAGAGGATCCGGCTCTACCTGACGCAACCAAATATGGGCTTCTGGCAAGTTGATGTACAAATAAATTATTGGCTTATTGTTTTTTTTAGGGTTTGATATGTTGACATTTTTACCGTGCATTTTATAGTAAGCAGAGGAACAATAATGATTAGCAGCTTTACTGACAAATTTATTACACAGATCATGTGATTTGTAATCATAATCCCACTTTATGTGCATCATGTTGAGATGCCGTAAACCATTTTACGTGTTATCTCGCTTCTGCAGCGATTTCACTTGCCTGCAAACGTAAAAACGTGATGCCTATCTACTTACCTCAGATGCCTTTTTAAAGATAAACTTTTGCTTTTCTTTCTGTTTGAACTCTTTCTGCATTTTGTCCATTTTTGCTGATGGTATCGGTGGATGCGGCGGTATCTCTGCCACTCAGACGCTCGAAGCCCCCGAGCTGTGTCACTGATTTGCCAACATGTCGGTTATGTTTCCAAACCCTGACAAATATTCATGTTGGTACAACAGGCATTCATTAACATCCACTTCCTCTTCTGGAGATATGGCAACACAGAATGAGCGCTGTAGGTAATTGTCAACCAACGTAATCTCAGCGTTGTGTTAAAAATAAACTGTAATTTCTAGCTGCTGAAGTTGGACGCCTGTTTCTGAGTCACAGAGCGAAGAAGGAAAAGGCAACTTGGACACTCTTGCTTACTCATTTATTTATTTGACAAAGATAAGCAGATGGGTTTTAAAGTGTTGAACAAATGTGAAGCACATCCAGTTTAAAGTATCAGACTGATTCAGCAGCGGCTAATCAAAACTAATTTATCTTGTTTATTCATCGATATAATTTAGGAGCTAAGCTAAAGCAGACGTTTGTGTGACATATCTTAAATGTCATTCTAAAGACCGTCATTACACACATCTGCAGGAGCAAAAGTGGATGTTAATTGTCATCATAGTTGAATAGAGGAGTAAGGAGGGGACTGATGACTAAATCAGCCTCTTGGTTTTAATCATCTAGCTCACATATGTCAGAGTCAAGGCCCGCGGGCCAGATGCGGCCCGCGGAGCATGTTTATGTGGCCCGCGAGATAAATATCAAAATTATATTAAAACTGGCCCGCTGGCCGATTTTACCACAAAGACTTCAACTCCCATGATGCTTTGCGGCGTCAGCGCGGAGCCGACGAAGCCCCCTCCTTTGTCTCGGACAAACTAAACACTCAGCTATTTTCTGACGTTGAAGCCCAGAAACGGAGATTTTAATCGCTCAGTAATGTGTTCACGACTGAAAGAGAAAGTTTTTCAACTAACAGAGCTGATATAACTCCAGCGAGCAGCGACACGCTCAAACCAGCACGACTCTGTGGCTGCTGTCGTTGTGTTTCCTCCCCGACACACAACAACGTGGTCAAGCTGCTCAGACATGTTCATCAGCACAAACCTATGTGAGCACCTGTTGTCATCTAATGTTGTCATTATTATGATGAAGGTGAACAAAACAACAGGAGTCTCCTCCTCAGCTCAGATCAACCCCATGATGCAGGTATCTGGCTGGAACAGGTGAGCATCACAGTAAACCAGTGGAGCAAACTGAGCTGAGCTTTAAATATGTTGGTTTTATGCTCTTTTTCTGCTCCAAAACGTGAAAGTTAACAGGTGAGATGTTGCATTTTCATTTAAGATAAAATGATATTTTTATTTTGTTGTTGGCCCGTGAGAAAAGATTTAACCTACAGTAAACAGGAAGTGGAAAGGCTGCAGATAGATGAATAGAATAGAAAATCCCTTTATTGTTCCTCAGTGGGGAAAGCTAGACGTCACAGCAGCGATGACACGTATTACAGGAGAAAAAAAGGAGAATAAAAAATAAGAAAAATGAATAAACAAAAACACATAAATCCTGAATAGATTTTAAAAATGCTGATTATACCACAAGTAATGAATACCACTGATGCCTTTTATTTAAAACTGACTTGCTCGTGTGTAATTTGGTTATTCCACATTCAGTGTTAATGCAGAAATAAGTTTGTTTCCAAATTTAAAGGTTCAAAATTGCATACATGTTGATAAAGAAAATGTGCAAATTTGCCGTCACTTTTTCAAAAAATATTAAGTTTGGCCCTCAACTCCGTCCCAGGGTTTCATTTCGGCCCCGTGTGAGTTTGACACCCCTGATCTAGCTGATCTGAGACGCCTGCACCTGTGTGTTCGTGATGAACCCAGACCTGTCTTCTGGCTGGTGGAGTTTCTCTACTGACGAGCTGTTTGTCAGGCCAAACATCCATTCCTCAGTTTCTGACAGGAGAGAGCTCCTCACTGGGTATTTCTTCTCCAACACTAGATGGTGCAAAAGTGTTGCTTTCATGTGCTTCATCTGCAAACGGTGAAGAGAAAATGACATAAGTAAACAGTTCTGTGCAAGAACATGTTGAAATATAATGAAAACGCCTCCAATTGAAAACTATTACTAAGTCTATACTAATATAAAAATATTATAATACTGTTGTGCTCTCTGAGATAAGTGGAGCGCTGTTGTTTATTGCTGGTGTCGGTTTGGTCGTGACAGCAGCTTAAAGGTCTGAAAACATGGTCAACCTGCTCTCCTCTGACTCATCTCCTCATGCTGACATTTATTCAATCCACAATCAGAGACTTGGGCCGGTGCCAGGACAATGTGACCGGAATGATAAGATGATCACTCTGTTAAGCGCCTCCCGACCTGCAGTAATTAATATTTATCACATTTGTTTAGGATTTACACGGCCTGCAGAGCAAAAACGTGTTAACATCAGACACAAGCTTTCTCTTAATCTATCCTTATGTGTGAGTATTTTATCTTTAACACTCGCCAAAATGATGAAAATAAAGTTTTACACTGTTTTTATGTGGACATTTGTAACACCACATGCATTTATATAGATATGTGAGCTATATAATACTAAATTTGACACTGCAGCCCATGAGATGAAAGGAAGGCAACAGGAGGTTATTGTTTCTTTTCATGTGTGTATTAACACAAAGACAAACACGTACATAATATACATATGCAATATATATATATATATATATATATATATATATATATATATATATATACAAAAAATAAACCCAGAATATAATATAACCTCTCAAACCATACAACATACATCAATGAAATACAGTACTTCATCGTTAATTCCCTAATTTCCTGTGTATATAATAATCAAGTCCATTGAGAACCGAGGTGTTTGATTCTCTTCAGTGTTCAGTCTGTTCCTTATGGTTAAAGGATTCCACCCTAATCTTTATAAGAAAAACACCCTCCATCCTACACTGAAAGAATGGCAAAAGCAAGGTTTTCCAGTTTTTAAAAATGAGTTATGTTAAAACTACATGTTTTGATTCTGCTTCTTCTCTAAACATGATTACATCATGAAACCTCAATCAAAATGTTCTTGTTGTTGAACAGACATGTTTCATAAATGATCCTATGAAATGAAATATTTGCACTTTGTGGTAAAGCCCCTCCCACATTTAGAAAAAGCAAGTTCCCTCCCATTTTATTCGGCCGGGAAAATACCTTTTACTGAGGACAAAGAAGGAGCCATTTTGTCAGTGTCTTCGCGGGACTTCATACGTCTTATAAAAGGTAAAACTTATTAAATATTTTATATTATTACACAGCATTTTGAATGTTTCTCTCTCATTGACAATAGATTGTAACATTTTATTAAGGGGACAAGCTAATTTAAGTTAAAAGTCGAGGACGAGGCTCACACACGATGTGACACAGGCTAATTCAGAGATGGGTACAGGGTAATTCAGCTGATGCTATAATATATATTCCTGGCACCAAGGCAAATATGTCTAAAAATGAAAATTAACCGAATATATGTATATCTAGTGTGATAATTCATTATTAATTTGGTTCCTCTTAGCTTTTCAGAGTGCCTTGTGTCTGCTTCGAGTGTATGAACCATATTTTCGATGGTATGAACCTGTATGAACCCAGCCCAAAGTTAAAAAAAATAAATGAACCCAGCCCAAAGCTGTCTGCTGCTAAGCTGTGATGCTGGCTGTGAACTGAATGGAGGACAAGTCGTGAAAACTAGGTGAGTTTGCTTCACATTCCGTTTGCAACAGGGTTTAATGCGAACTCTCGCGTGGGTCAGCTCACGCCGGTAGTGTGGTTAGCTGGATCCGCGATGTAAAGAAATCGTTTGAGTAGCGAACACACAGGTCTGAGGCCTAGGGTCTGTAGCTCGCCACTCTCATGGAGAGATCAGGGGGAAAATAACCTGACCTCTAATCTGTAGGCCGCACAAAGATTCATCTACTTCCTCCGATCTCCAGTATAAGAGAAGGTGTGAGGAGGTATGAGCGTCCTGGAAAGCGCTTTGCAGTGTGTCGCAGGACGAACGTCAAATCCCTCTGACTCCCCACACATTAAAATCAAACCGATGTGTGCGTTTGCGAAATTAGAGTTCCTCCAGCCATGCACAGCCATCCACAGGTGGAAGTACAGGAGAACCGGAACCAGTACCGTTGGGTCGCTCTTATGGAGTGTGTTTGTGGAGAGTGTGTCTGCCCACCAGTGGATGGGTCAGGTAGTGCTGCTCTTAGTAACACAGGTTACAATGCCCCTACTTCATTTGTGCACATCCCGTCACACGAACCAGGAGGACAACCCGCTGAGGGCTGATCCACAACCGGATAAGGTGGTGCACAGACGTCATCCTGGAGGAAGTTGGAAAATGGTGAGGCTTAGTCAGCTGAAAAAGGTTTGTATCCCTTTCAAAAGAGGGCGGCCCAGCTCCTGGTAAAGGAGCCTGTCAGGTGGCCGCCTAGTCCGTGAAGAGGTTCTTAACATAGGTTCTGTGGTCACTGTTGGACTTATAAAACTACCAGGGGATCAATCACATGAGTCGGGAGAGGGTACACTCTGCACCTCCATGGATTCAGAGTCACGGAACAGTACTTTGTCCACTGGGTCACCTTCACCCTCCATTCCTACAGCCTCATTCTCACCCGTACTTGCTTCAGCCCTCCTCCCCACTTGGTAGTTAATCTCTGGATCTCCATTAGGAAGCTCTGTCCTAGAGCTCAACCAGTGTCAATTTAATATAGAGCAGGGATTCCCAAAGTGTGGTGCGCGCACCCCCGGGGGTGCGCGAGCTGCCGCTAGGGGGTGCGCAAGGTGAAAAGTGTAATGGCTGTGGAGCTCAGAGAAGTCTGTCATATGTCACCATTATTGTAGAAACTCATTTGTGGGTGGGCCAAAGAAAAAGTAAGTGGGCCCAATAAATGTAATTGAAAACAAGTATATTTTTGCGTGCGCGCGCGTGTCCTCCACATGTGCCCTAGCTTCATAATAACAATGCGCCGAGCTTCAGCACTCTGGCCTGTGCACGCCGATATGTTCCGTCGCGCGCGCGCACGCGTCCTCCACATGTGCACTCAGTAGTCAGTGAGCCCTGTCTATACATAGGAGCCGCTGGAGGACTGAGGTGGACGGAAGTGGACTGAGAAGAACTGCTCACAGCTGGAGCTGGAGGCTAGGTGTAAATAGTGTCCCAAAACAAAGACTGGCAAATGCCTTCATGTCTGCGTGTGCTGTGTGTGGGTCGGCCCAGTAGCTGAGTGCGCTACAATCATTTCTATTATTTTATTAATGATTAATTTATGAAGTTCTTTGATACGCAGAACAAAACAGCTAGCATAAAATAAGCGACAGTGGGTCAGAACCCAAAACACAGAAAAACATAACCACTTACTTATTCAAGCTATGTTGGGTTATTTTGCTCCTTCGAGTGTCTCAGTATAGCCATGTTTGCGGTTTTAAAGAGCAAGTCACCCCCAAATACACTTTTTTTTGCTGATAACTAAATAAACGAGTGTCTAATCGTGCTGCAGACACGTGTCGTCAATAATTTGGCACCTCAGTGCATCTTAGTTAAAATTTAAATATTCTGTCTAAAACTGGCAGAGTTGTGCCGTTGTCAGGTAAAAACTCTGCACTGTATTTGAATTTAAATCTGCCACCGCTATTGGCTAAGAGGTATGCTATGATGTAAACTGGTACATTATGATGTCACAATGCTGTCGTGAGCCTGTGTGTGTATTTGTTAGCAGCTCCGCCCTCTCGGTCTGCCAGGCAACAGCATTTGTTGCATTTTTCAAACATGAAGTGGGAGTGGAGTTAGACTCTGGTAGGGGGTGACTTGCTCTTTAAGTGCAGTTTTAGTACACTCCGTTGGTTCGTATTCAAAGATTCTGTCCAATGATGGTAACAACAATTTTGTCCATGTCTGTAAGTCAACTGAAACCAGACTTTCTGTAATGAAACAAACATTTGTTTGTTCATTCATTCATTCACTGAATGGGGGCAATTCTTTTTTCTGTTGTGGTGAAGAAGAAACTGAGTCACCCATGGTGGTGAGGTTGGGATCATGACCAGAAAATGGGATCCAGGTTAGAAGAAGTCGAAACCAGCTTCCTCCCGTGGGTGTCTGGAGTCAGCTTTGCAGAAAGGACGAGGAGCTCTATCACCTGGGAGGGGAGCTCAGAGCTGCAGCTGAGATGGTTCAGGCATCTGATCAGGATGCCTCCTGGTCACCTTCCTCTGGAGAATTTCACAGCACACCTCACTGGAAGGAGACCCCAAGGCAGACCCAGAACTTACTGGAGGTAAAATCCCCTCTGAGTCCTAAAAGACCGGGACTCTCCCAGGAGGAGTTGGTAAGAGTGGTTAAGGAGAGGAATGTCGATCCTGGTCTCCTTGAACATTTACCTCTCCGCTCTTGGAAGAGCAGAAGAAAATAGATGGATGGATCACTCTTCAAACGACCATAAGTACTGCTTATTTTATTTTGCACCAACAAAACTTTTGTCTATAGGAACAACTGCACTCATTTTTCCTGAACTGTTTAATATAAACTTTAAAATTGATGTAAGTTTTTCTTTTTGAGGATATGGGACCCAACGCCTCCCTGCTTGACACTCAGGGGTTGGACTGGGGGGGGTTAAACCACCAAATGGTTCCCAAGCGCGGCCGTGTCTGCAGCTCACCGCTCCCCCAGGGGATGGGTGAAATGCGGAGAACAAATATCACACACACATCAGTGTATGTGACAACTGATGGGACTTTAATCTTTAATGTGTGGTCCCATCGTTTCATGATCTCTCTGCGACACCTTACATCAAGTGAAGTGAGACCTGACACATGGAGGCTTCTGCAGAAAGAAGAAACAAACCAGTAAAACAGGAGATTTGAGGTCTCAACAGCAACAGCAGGGGCGGATTAAGGACTGAAGAACATCCGGGGCTTAACACACACACACACATACACACACACGCGCGCGCGCACACACACGCGCACATACTAGTCAACAACATATATGTCTTGTACCACATAAATTTTAATCTGAAGCTACATATGAAGCATATTCAGGGCAGAGTATTGTTCCTGTTAGTGTTTAGTGTGAGATGATAGTAAATATTCCTTTCTTTCTCCATCAACTTTACCTGATAGTAAGCTAACTTTAGGCAAACCAGCAGCACAACAAATATTTTCTAATAAGACTCACAAACCTGAGTCAACACCAGTCTCATCAAAGCTGGGGTTCTGTCGTTGTACTTTTGGTCTAATAAACGTCCTTATGTCCATCTTCACTCATGCGTTTCAGACAGAGAGTGCAGAAGAAGCCGGCTGCTGAATGGCTTCTTCTTCAGTGGTGGAGGCTCAGGCAGGCTGTATACAAACTACTGCCAGCTGCTCCCTCTCTGTTGGACTTTGGTACTGCATGTTACTTCCGCGATTTAGATCCGGGGCTTTTCATAAAACATCCGGGGCTTCAGCCCAAGTAGCCGGGCCTAACGCCGCCCCTGAGCAACAGTGTGGCTCAGTTTGCTTTAGCACAACATTAAACCAAGCAAATTGAGCCACTCCTATAATGGATAAAAATCAGATAGAAAATGGTGGCAGAACTGTGTGTGATGATTTGTCACCTGCAGGGTTTGCCGCCAGAGCAGGAGGATGTGTGCACACAGCTGTCTGATAAAATGTTTGTTCACACTTTTGGACACAGAAAACAGAATTGTGATTATTCCTTCTCTATTGTAAAACTGTCTTTTGCATTTTCCTTCTCTTTCTTCACCCCCCCCCCACCCCCCCACCCTGACACAGTTATAGAGCAGAGCAATGATGCATGCCTCAGTGAGACCTGGTGAATAGTAATGAACCAAGACTGTGTCTATTTGAGGCAAAGCAGGAGGAGAGAGGGTATGGGAAGGGTGTGTGTGTGTGTGTGTGTGTGTGACATTAATAGTTTACAGCGTTTTCATGGCTGCCGTTGTCACACAGCTCATCAGCAAACTCTAACAAGGAGAACGTGGCGTCGCTAATTTAAACCTGAAACTGTGTTTTTACGAGCTTTCCCCCATTAGACCCCTCCTGCCTATAGAACATAAACAAGAGAGGGGAGGGGGCGTTAGTGGAGAAAACCGACGCAGGGGAAAGAGATGGGGATGAAAATGGCTCAAAGAGGGGCAGCAGCACCTGCTGTCCTCGGCTCAGATTCACCAGGAGAAACAGCAGCAAGAGATGAACTGCGAGGACAAAGACAGGAGGAAAAACGGGTCCAAACAAAGACCGGGACACTCACAAGATTTTTCCGTGAAGGCATCTAACCTCTCATGGCTGCAGCTGCAGATAAAGTTTTAACCAGGAGAGCTTTCTGGGAAAAAAGTGTGTTTCTTGCTGGAGACAAATGTCTGAAATGTTCAGTGACTGGCTGCAAAGATCAACTTGATTGCCAAGTCTGAAAGGAAGGGAACAAGCACAATGGAGCCCCCTCCCCAGCTCAGCCCCTCTTTTATCCTTTCCCATCCAGGATCCATGGGCACTCTGCCAACGGGGAATCTTAAGAACTCATTCAAAGGAACCCGAAGAAAGGAGCTTGTTTAAAACCAGGAGCCATTCTTTCGCAGGCTCTTGTTTTTCTTTACGTTTCCCACGTGAGGAGGGATTTTCTGGCTGTCATTTTCTCTGACACAGCTTCTGAAATGGTGTGTGTGTGTGTGTGTGTGTGTGTGTGTTGGGGGGGGGTTGCTGGAATTGCAATTCATGTAACGTTTCATCGGATTTGTGTTTTGAAGGAGTGTTAGTGAGAGATCTCCCTCCAGAGCCCCTTCCTCCCTCTCTCTCTACTTTTCTTCCTGCTTTTACTCCATCTCTCTCCTGCACACATGGTAACTCCTCCCCCCGGCGACCCATTGTCTCTCCGTACAGTACCGGGCTGAGAGGATGTCACACTCGGTCCAGCGATGGACACAGGACAGGGAGAAGGAGGTAAGAGTCACTGGAAAACCCCCAACATCAAATCCTCACTCCGAGGAGCGGGGAGCTGAATGTCTGTTTTGTTGATCTTGAGACTGACAGCGGGCTTTAGTGATGCTCTGTGGCTTTCCTGTGTTTTATGCTGTGTTTTGGCGGGTTTTACTTGTCTTGTCTGCCAGTGGAAGACTCTTTTGGACAGGATACTCCTTTTAAAAATGAATCTTTCCTTTCTGTAACATATTCTAAATTCAATTATTCTTCAACCCAAGCCTGTGAAAACATCTGGCTGATGCTGATTGCCAGAACTGGCTCCAGCTGAGAGGAGTCGATGTGTAAGGATTATTGCTAATCCCGCCTGTGGCTGTGATTCACCTTCTTGTCTGGACAGTCTGACACCGGGGCTTTGC